GATAAAATTTAAGAAAAAGTGAGAGGTTCTACATTCAAATGATGTCAGCACAACATACTAGAAAGCAGTCCTAAGAGGGAAATTTCTAGCAGTGAATTCTCACATCAGAAAAACAGAATAAGCTCAAATAAATAACTTAATGCTGTACCTCAAGGTCCCACAGAAACAAGAACAAGGCAAAGACCAATGCTTATACAAGGAAGAAAACTATAAAGATCAGGGCATAAATTAATGAAATTGAGGCTAAAAATAACCATTCAAAGAATCAATGAATCGAAGAGTAGGTTCTTTGAAAGATTAAAGAAATAGGGAAACCCTCAGCCAAACTTGCCAAAGCAAGGAAAGAAATGACCCAAATCCATGCAAGTAGAAATGAAAAAAAGGTTTGAGACCAACCTGGACTGCAAAATGAGCCCAAGGCCAGCCTGAACTGCACAGCGAGACCCTATCTCAAAAGAGAAAAGAAAAATGAAAAAAGCAAAATCACAATGGATTTGGCAAAAATCCAGAGGATATTCAGTATGGGGGAAGAGAGAGACCAGGCCTCGGAACCAGCTGTAGGTGGCCCCTCGGGGACCAGGCTGCATGGCAGAGAACATTTGTATTTAGGCTTTCACTATAGCACTTGGGCCCCACCTCCTGTCACATGGAGTTACCTTATGGACAGCGAGGCTCCCTGCTCTGCATGAGAACCTACTGTGAGACTACAGAGCCACAGGTGCCTAAGAGCACGCAGGGGATATAGCTCGGTGGCATAAGCACCTGCCTGGCAAGCACACAGTCGTGAGTTCAATTCCTGGTCCCGAAGAAAGAAAAACTGTGGCAAAGCATGTAACGCGATGAATTCTCTGGAACCCACGGCCACCATCCCTGCCTCAACGTCCAAGGAAAACTGTCTGATACAACACCAGTCCCTGCTGCCCGACAGGCTGGGGCCCCGCTGTCCTGAAAGGCCACCAGGAAGGTCAGTAAGGCCAAGGACACACAGGACGCCTCCAAGTGTGTTTGTGAATCCTTCAAAAGAAACCCAGCCACCAGGAAAACAAACACGTACTGATTGAAAACAAAAGCTGAAAAGCCCCAATCTGATTAAAGGAACAGAAAAAGATATAAAAATAAAACAGGACTAAGGAAGGACACATACGGGAGTCATTATCAGAGCTTCTTTCCCCAGGGCCAGCCTTCTCCAAGTCCCTGACAGACAGAGACATCCTCCTGTCTCAGGACATGGGACAGGATGCCTCGAGAGCTCGAGCCTGTTTTCCAGCCCCGAGACTGGGTCCAACTGGCTCCTCCCTATGTGGCTGCGTCCTCTCAGCCTTGGGGAGGGAGATCAAGGTGATCTCAGTCCCACGATATCCGGGTATCATTATGTCAAGTACAAACCCAGAGGCTGCATGGGGGGAATCCAGAGTGCTTCCCTCCTCGCACCCTTGTCCTTGACACACCACACCCTTCCCAGGGACCTGCAGGGACAGGGCCGACTGGGCAGCGTCCCAGAAGTGGCCTGGATGGGCCTTGCATTCGAGTCCTGGAACTCCATTGTTCCCAGCGGGAAGCTTTCCTGATACCCATTCCCTCCTTTAATTCTGTCCTGAACCTCCTCAGGGGTTTTCTGACACTGGAACCTCTTTGCTAAAATACTAGGCAGGCCAGAGAAATCACAGGCTGCAGAGGAGGCCCCTGGGGAGATTCTGACGAGAATGGGCAGGCTCAGATGCTTGAGTGGTGGACACTATAATCCCAGCACTCAGGAGGCTGAGGCAGGAGAAGTGCTGTGACTCTGGGGCCAGCCTGGGCTACACAGTGAGCACCAGATTAACAAAACCTCATGGAGGTGGCCTGCACTTTGGGTCCAGCTGTCTGGGACACTGTGTCCATTTTGCACATGGCCCTGAAAGCACAAAAGCAGGTCCAACCTCGGGTGCAACACTTCACGGCTGCCACTCTTGTGTCTTTTGGTCACAGAATCTGCAAAAAGCCTTCTGGGCTCTGCCAAGCCCATGCTTGCTGCTCACAGTGATGCACAGACACCTCGGTCACTGGTGAGTGAGCTCAACCTCCCCACACTCCCGGATGAACCGCCCAGAAGTGAACAGGAGGTGGGGGGAAGCATAGACAGCCCGCAGACTTTCCACAGGATGGATCTTTGGCTGAAGAGATGTATTAGAAACTCCATAGCTGGAGTCTCTTTTCTGTTTTGTTTACTGCTTCTGAGGCAGGGTCCCACTCTGTAGCCTAGGCTGGCCTCGACCTTGTGGCGATCCTCCTGCCTCTGCCTCCCAAGCACTGCAGCTACAGGAAGGAGCCTTGATGTTGGGGCCCAATGAGGATGCCTGAGAGAAGTTTCCCAAGGGACAATCAGCAGGGAATGTACAGTGTTTCCAGGGGAGCCGGATGCCTGCTGACGGTGTCAGTGCTTGGAATAGCAAATCCTAACTAGCATCCCGACACTTCAGACTGCCAGGCACTTCGGGCCCTGACAAGCAGCTCTTAGGGTGAGGGGATGGGAGGAGCTGGGCACCGGTGCAGAAACGGAAACACAAGCGGCACTAGCCTCTTTGCACCAATGCAAAGGTGTGCCCGAGCTACTGGGGGATCTCAGCTTTAAAAACACATAACACAAAGTGGGGATTTCTTCTCCATTTCAGCTGCAGTGGTGTTTTCCTGCAGGCTTCAGTTAAAAAGCCTTGAGGATTTGAAGGAAAAATGAACTCCATGCCATCCAAGAACCACACAACAAACACCGAGGACTGAGTTTTTCAGGCTGCAGCTTCTGTTTTCTCAATGGCGAGGCCAGAGCATGCTCCCACCTCGGAAGCCAAGACAGCGGCAGTTCGGCCTGCGCTCAGTTGATCATGCTTCGAGGGTCAGCTAAAGATGCACCCCGACCCCCGAGTTCAGCTGAGGAAAGGACAGGGTGTGCCCGGGGGTGAGTACTGCTGGCTTTCCAGAGGGCCGAGGCAGCCACCGCGCTGAAAACGCAAAGCCCGAGGTCAGGGGCCTGGAAATGCTGCCCAGCAGGCTGAGACCCACACCAGGGTGAACGGGAACCCGTTCATGTGACGTGCGTCACACTAAGGAAGAGAGGCGCGCACTGCCAGGGCTCACATTTTATCCCACCCGGCTGTGCACTGCTCACGCTGCTATTTGCTTTGGTAACCTGCGACATTTAAATAGACACTTGGACAACAGAAGATGCATCTTTCTAATGGCGGACACTGAGTCACCATAGATCTTGTCTCTAAAACCAGTCTTGGCTGCTTCATGTCATTCAAATGCCAAATTCTTTTGCTCCCTCCCCACTGCTGGGAATCACACCTAGGGGCTCTCTTCCATTAGCTACATTCCCAGCTGCTCTTATTCTTTTGAGACAAGGTCTCATTAAGTTGCTCAGGTGAGACAATCCTCCTGCTTCAGCCTCCGGGAGTGCTGGGATCACAGGGATGCACCCCGAGCCCAGCTGGATGCGAAGCTCTTGCTGTCACTTCACACAGGATGGCAATAAATTGGGCCTCTAAAAGAATGAATTCAATACTGTTGTTCTTATAAATACACGCGGGAACTGTGAGGAAGGAACATGATACGAAGTTAAGGACAGCTGTGACCATCATAGCAGATCTAAAATGCTGGTCTTGAGACGCATCCGTGTACCTAAACTGTTATGGCAGTGCGGTGCACCCCATGATGTATAAATACCACATTTCCTTCGTCCATCCACCTGCCGATGGGCATCTGGGCTGTTTCCCAGGTGTGGCCTTGCTCAGTTGTGCTGCTGCACACCTGGGTGTGCACGTATCCAGGTGTGCCTCACACCTACAGTGTGCAGTTTCTGACACACACGCACACACAGCTCCCAGGAATGGGAAGTGGCAAGGGCGAGTTAAAGCAGGAGGGAGGGGAAGGAAGGGAAAGGGGGTGGGGAGAAGGATGGGAGGCAAACAATGGGAGGAGAAGAGGCCGGAAGGAAGAGGAGGGGTAGAAAAGAAGGCAGACGCATCTCATCTGGTGACAAATTCCCGCATGACTGTGAGCACTGTGTATGGCATGTTGTATCCTTTAGGGTAGGCGCGTCCTGAATTTGTGTGTGGCTTATCCCACACCCCAATGCGTTCACGAGCGACACTTTAGGGCAAGGACCACATTCAGTGTCATATGCAGCAGCTATCCAAGGGCATCGGTTTCTGTTTCTTTATTTAGGTGGCTCCTCTCTCTTAAGCTCATGGTGTTTCTAACTGACTTAGGCCATTAAAGACCACACAGCATCGACATTAAGACACCTTTTGAGATATCTTCTAATTAGTTTTGGTTAATTAGTTATAGCCCCTTCGCCATGTTTACCAATAAAGCAAAGCAAGCATGATCCCAGCATCCCAGCACTCTGGGAGGCTGAGGCAGGAGCATCTTAAATTCAAAAGCAGCTTGCACAACTTAGCAAGACCTTGTCACAAAATAAAAATGATGGGCTGAGGATGTAGCTCAGTGCAAAGGCCCAGAGTTAGACTGCCAGTGTCAAAATAAACCAATAAATCTCCCAGCAGGACCTTGGGGAGCTGAGGCAGGGGGAGAAGCTCTAAGTTCAGGGCCAACTTGGATTACAGAGTGAGTTTGAGGCCATCCTGGATTGCACAGCACGAGCCTATCTCAGAAAACCCTCAATCAATCAATGACAACAATGAGAAAAGAAAAAACAGATCTCACCCTGCCCTTGAGCTCACTTTGTAGTCCAGGCTGGTCTCAAATGTGCAACAATCTTCCTGCCTCAGTCTCCCGAGTGCTGGGAGATTCCAAGTGTGTACCACCACACCAAGCACTTTCCAACCAAATCTTAAAAGAAAACCATGACTGTGTTCTACTGCTTACTTTTAGGACAGGTTTCCCTAAAGCCGAATGGCACTGTTCCATAGCAGATTCCCAGGCACAGAGGACCATGGGATTTTCCACTGCCACCAGGTTCCGACCACCTGTAATGAGAGGACGCAGGACTGCGGGAGCCTCACCTTCTGCAAGTTCGGCTTGATGCAGCGCACGAAGAAAGGGTTAGAGGAGCTCAGCGTGGCCATGAGGGAGTGCAGCGAGTCCTGGCAGGGACAGAGCAGAAACCGTTAGCCTCAGTTCTGTGCACCGGAGTGTGATCGAAGTGAGAGCCCAGGCTACAGCCCTGCCGTAGGGCTTCCTGTGAGACGCTGGCATTTGATCCCAGCCACTGTCACAAACCCAAAATGACCTTAACATATTTCAGGGTTCCAGTCAGAAACACTAAGCCTAAGATGTGGGGGTGCACACCTGTGATCACAGCACCCTGGGAGGCTGAGGCAGGAGCAGCACAAATTCAAGCCTCAGGGCACGTTAGCAGTTTAGTGAGACCCTGTTCAAAATACATGAAAGAGGGCTGAGGATGTAGCTCACAGTGAGGGCTCGGGGCAAATAAATACACCAAAAAGGAAGAGCTCGGACAGAACCCTCTTCACTCATCAGAACTTCAGTATCCGTTACTAGTACTTTAATACACTGTGTAACCCCGACATAACAGCACCTCAAAAGACAAATAGGCATTCCTTAAAGTAATTAAGTTAACCTCAGCTACTGGGGAGGCTGAGGTAGGAGGATTAGGGGTTTGAGGCTAGCTGGACAATTTAGTGAGACTTTGTGTCAAAATAAAAAAATAAAAAAGGCTGAGACCACAGCTCAGTGGTAAACTCATGCCTGTATCAGAGAGAGAGAGAGAGAGAGAGAGAGAGAGAGAGAGAGAGAGAGAGAGTGTGTGTGTGTGTAACACTGCGGCTCCTGTTGTGCCTTGGCCACTGGGCTCCAGAGAGCAGCCTGCTATGCCCGCCTGTGGGGCCACCAAGAGCCTTCCACCCCGTCCAGTACTCCTCTGCCCAGGCCCACAGGGCCTCCAGGCAGCGTGCCAAACTCCATGGGAGAGGAAGAGCTCATCATCCCCCCCCCTTCTTCTCTTATTTGAGTCAGAGCCTCGCTGCGTAGCCCAGGCTGCCTAGAACTCACAGTGATCCTCCTGCCTCAGCTTCCTGAGTGCTAGGAGTACAGGTGTGCACCACCACACTTAGTGAGACTGATCTTATTTCAGCAGGATCTTAGCCACCATGCCTCATGCTGACACTGTCAACAACACCGGGGAGAATGGCACATCTAGATCTGGCAAGAAACAGACCCCGTTTCCACATGAATGTCCCCATACAAGGGAGAATGATCTGCGCTAGCAAAGCAGACTTTAAGAAGCTCTGTTATTTCAAACAGTTCGAATTAGTTATTTCTTATTTAATAAAAAGTCTACATTTCCACCTGCCTCACAGAAGTGTATGTATGTGTGATGTACTCTGTGCGTGTGCGTGTGTGCTGGGACTGAAGCCAGGCTCTTGCAGGCTAAGCGTTAGCTCTACCATTGAGCTACACCACTGACCCCCAAAATGTATGCTTATAAAACACTGTTTAGCGGCCGTAGGCATGGAATCCAGGTACACTCCAAGCTCCATCTGCAACACCTTCCCCACAGTCTTTGTTTTGTATTTTTTGTTTGTTTGTTTTTTCTCTTCCTTTGGGCTTTTGAGACAGGATCTTGCTACGTAGCCCAAGATGGTTTCCAACTTGCGGTGATCCCCCTGCCTCAGCCTCCCAAGTAGCTGAGCTCACAGGTATGCACTGCACCCAGCCATCACTATTTTAAAAGCATGACATGAAAGAAAGCAAACTTTTAAGTCCTCCTAGGCCTCGGGTACACCCAACTCCTCTTTCCTTTCCTCTCTATAGAAGGCTCACGCCGTGGGCGCCTGCAGACTGACCTTGAACTGCGAGCTGACCGTGGGCCGACGGTGCTTGCTGCCGCCCTTGAGGGTGTCCTGGCTGCTGCGGCTGGGGACGTGCTCGAAGAGGTCGTAGATGAAGTCGAACCTGTGGGAACAGCGGGCTGTGAGGCCGCCACCGCTTATCAGGTGCGCATGACTGGTAATTACTGCACCTTTTCCCACTGGAAGTTGCGGGGGCTGGAGAACCAGGACTGTGGCCAGGACTGCACGCTGACTCCGCCCAAGAGCCTCAGGCACAGAGAACCAGCCAGACTCAGGAGACTGCGGCCCAGGCGGCTTCCCAGGGAGCCTCCCAGAGCACCCCTGAGCCTGAGCCTGGGTACCCAGCCTGGGGACTCCAGAGCCAGCACCTCAGGGTCTCCAAACCCACGATGCTCATGCCCCTTTGATTACATAGTGTAGGGAGCAGGCCTAGGGCTACACGCCCATATTCTAACATTCTGGGGGGCTGAGGCAGGAGGATTACAATTTGAGTCAGCCTGGGCAACTCTGTGAGATTCTGCCTCAAAATAAAAAATTAATCCAGGAGTGTGGCGACACAAATCTATAACCCCAGCACTTAGGAGGCCGAGGCCAGACTGGGCCACATGGTGAGTGCAAGGCCAGCCCAAAATACCTACTGAGACTTTGTCTCAATCAAAAATATAAATAAACTTTTAAAATGGCAGAGAATGTAGGGCAGTGCAAAGGCTTTGGGTTCAATCCCCAACACTGCTAAAACGCAGTAAAATAAATAACTGGAATGGAACAGGATTTGCGTAGAACATAAAGGCACAACCTCTCATCCATCCCAAACCATCTCTGGATTTCCTACAATACCTAAACAACTGCTATGCAGACAGCAGCCGCTGTGCGTCACCTGGAGTACAAGGACAGAGAAACGCTCGTCCAGGTTCCACACACGCGGTTTACCGCACGGGGCCAGGCAGTTTGGCAGCGGCACCGCAGGCCTGGGCAGTGGGATCTGCTCTGTGGGGCATAGGTGTCCCGGGGTCCCTGAAGCTGGGTGTGGAAAGGGTGCTGGTGGGGTGCAGTGGGTGGGAGGCTCCAATACCATCTCCTCGCCTTCCTGATAGATGTGTCCCCCTTGTGGCCAATCTCCACCACCCCAGCAGCCTTGGAAAGTGGGGTTACTTCTTGAATCTGTCCAGAGCCCAGACTTTGCACTTCACTACATCCCCAACCCTTTCTGGAGACAGGGTCTCGCTAAGTTTCCAGGGCTGGGCTTTGACGCTGGAGAGAACCCTGGGCCCATTCAAGGTCAAAGACAAGAAGCCCAAGGAGGATGGAGCCAGCAGCCTTCACCTGCATCACTAAAGTGCCCTACACAGGATCCAGCGACCTGCCCTGCTCCACCCTGCCAGTGCTGGGCCTGCAGATCTTTAGGCTTGGACAAGAAACTGCTTCTGTTTCAAACCAGTACAAGGCTTTTATTCAAATGCACCTTTCTTACCCTAAGAACTCCCCTCTGCTCAGACAGATAACCCACGGGGGTTTTTTAAAGCATCCTTTGGTGTTTTTGGGGGTCTGCCAACTCCTTTACAAATGTTAATAGCTGATAATGCTGCAGTGGTTGACTCCTCACACAGCAGAGGTGAAACAACTTTAAAGATAACACGCTAGGGATTCTGAAGGCCCCAGCTGACACCTCAGCCTGGCCCCATCACCCCAATTCACAGCTTTCTGAACAATCACCTGGTGTTCACAGTTCATAGCACCCGACAGCTTCGGAACCATTGTGCTGCTTCCTTCCTCAGGTCTTTATTTGTGACCCATTCATGCGGGGGCCCACAGGGTACCCAAAGCTTCTTCCTTCCCTTGCACAAATCTTCCTAAGAATAGGGCCCTTCCTGGTTGAATCTACAAAAACAGCAAAACGAACCATTAAAAGTTCCTGTCTGATTTCCTTCACTATGGACTCCATGGTCTGAATTGCTGACTCACAAATGAATGTGTAATGCATCTCTATTTTTCGCTGGAATAACGCTTGTATAATTTTTCTTTGGTACCCGGGGATCGAACTCACAACACTGCGCTTGCCAGGAAGGTGCTTATGCCACCAAGCTAAATCCCAGGCCCCTGTTTGACCTTCCTGACATCTCCATGCTAATAGCCGGTGCTGCTGTAATTAATTTATAGCTCAAGTCATTTTGTCAATGAAACAATGCCTGGAGAAGAAGACCCGAAAGCAAGCTGCTGTAGACTCATGAGTTAAGAGCATTTGCACAAATTTGCACTTTTGCTAAAGACGAAGAGACCAACACGAACCGGCTTTCTCTTAGCAAGTTGAGCAGGTCGTCCCGGAAGGTGTCTCTGTTCTTCTCCAAGATGCCTCGGACATCATACTGCACCTAGTTTTACAAATAAAAGTGAGAGGTCCACCCCTATAACCTCAGCACTTGAGAGGCTGAAGCAGGAGGGTACGCGTGAGTTAGAGGCCAGCCTGGGCTCCACAGAGAATTCAAGGCCGGCCTGAACTACGCAGACCGAGTCTCAGGGGCTTCTCAAGCTTCTGTTTTGTGTGAAGAACAAAGGGGTGAATACCACAAAGACCTCACCTCTCCAGCGTAGTGTTTCACTCCGAAATTGTTGACTGCAACTCTGGGCTTCACATAAAAGTGGTTATTCTAAAAATAAAATAAAATAATGAATACACCTTATTTCACTTATTCATTCCCTGTGCCTTTAGAGAAAAGCAACACAATGCACAGCAAAAACCACCTCAGTACTGTCTCTGTCGTGGCACAGATAGGGCTGTGACACCCTCCTCTGAGCCATGCTCACAAACGGTCCCTTTAGCACTCAACAGCACAGCCTGACCACATCCCCACCTCTAACCTTATTCGACTTAGATCTATTAAGAGCTGAAGAATCTGACTTAGCTCAGCATAGGTCTAGAAAGGGGAGAAAAGCTCTGAGTTACGAGAAAAAAAATTAAACACAGAACGCAGCTCTGGGCCAAGATGAGATCTTCGTGCCCAGGTCCGCTGTTTGTGCGTCACGGGTCAGGCAGGTCCCCGCGTACCGAGTGCTGCTGGTGCAGCTTCTCCAGTAAGGTGCTGTCCGTGGCTTGCGGAAAGTGGCTCTCCTCATTGATGAGGGCCAGGAGCCCGAGTTTCTAGAGACGGGAAGAAGAAGGCTGAGTGGAATCCACGTGGGACGTGTGTCTTTCAAACTACCGAGAGCCCCTCTCCTCTCCAATCCCTATCAAGTCAGCAACCCCAAGAAAAAGCATGGGAACTTCTTGGGTAGAAAAAAATCAGAACGATCCACCCTCAAGAAGTCAATTAATTTAAATTCTCTATGAGCCCTTTTTAAATCATGAAACTCACTGTAAAGTGCTGGCTAAAACTCCCACAACTGGCCCATTGACTCTCCTCCCGGTTGGTGAAGTGGAGTCTCAGCAGCTAATTCACACTGTGGTTTCTTAAACCCCATTCAACAGGAGACAATGGGCCAGGGCAGCCAAGTATTTAAATTCAACTTTGCACATTTACATCTCGGTTTCCAAATGGTCCATTGTGTTCCGAACATTCTCATCTTTGATGTGCGAGTTCGCACAAGTTACTCTGTTCCCATAAATATGACTCAGCCCAGCTGGACACCCTCGGAGCTACAGCACCCTCCGCGGCCCCTGCACCTTCTCGATCAAGTCCAGACACTCCCCGTTGTCTATCCAGTCAATGTCCTCCCACACCAGGCCTTCTCTGCAGAGAGATTGAAAAAGGGTCAAGGGAATGAACGGTCAGCTTTGCACTACCTGAGCCAGCGGCTGACCACTTGCAGAGCAGGAGTGGCAGCTCCTGAGCACATACCTGCTGTATTCCAGCTGCTCCAAAGAGAATATATGCTTGTTGAAGTATTCCTGAAGTTTCTCATTTGCATAGTTGATATTGAATTGCTCAAAGTGGTTAACCTAAGGTGGGAAAACATTCAACGGGTATTTTTTGTGCTTGCTACACGAAAAAGAATAGGAAAAAAAATCTGTTGCGAAAAATATCAATGTCTACTTAAAAAGATTTAATTTATTCTTTCATTTATCCATTTGGCTTTTTGAGACAGGGTCTCACTGTGCAGTCCCAGCTGGCCCTGAACTTGTAGTCCCCTGCTGTCTCAGCCTCCACAGTGCTGGGATTAGGGGTGAGACCACCGCACCCAACTTCACGAGATTGGTTTTAAAGCAGCCCCAGATCCGGGACAGAGTGCACCGATCCCTGTGCCTTGCAAACCCACCTCGAAGTTTTCAAATCCAAAGATGTCGAGGATGCCGATAGATTTGAAGTCGTCCCTGCCCTTGATCCTGCTGTTGATCTTCTTGATGACCCATTCGAAGCAGCGTGCATAAAGTGCCATAGCCAAAGAGTCTCTGCTGTCCACTGCCTGTGGGACAGGAGGTGACATACGGTCCTGGTGACCAGGGCCAGCAGCAGGAGAGTGTAACCCTGCCCTACTCCTCAGATGCACGCACTGTCCCGGGAAAGACCAGGGAGCCTTGGCGAGGTCAGGGAACACAGCGCTACCTGACAACAGTGTGAACCGCTTTCTTACAGATTCACCCACAACTCCTTTTGGGATCAGGATCTGAAATATAACTGCATGTTCAGTTACATGGAGGATTCTGAATCTATAGATGTGTGATTAAAAACTACAGTGAATCTTTCTTTCTGTACTGAGAATCAAACTCGCAACCTTGCACATGCTATGCAGGTATTTGTGCCACTGTAGTGCTTGGCACTAGTGCATATTAATTCTTAAAATTTGTTCCAGTAAGAGACATTGCCACAAGTCCCCTCAAAATACTTCCCGTGGCTTTGAACATTCTTATTCTACCTCTGGGCCACCTTCTCTGACCAGTTCTAGAAGTCTTTGTTCATGCAGATCTTCAGCTGTGCTGCATGGCTGTTCAACAAACAGCCTGACGGGGTTCAAATGTTTACTTCCCAGGGTCACTGTGACTTAGGGGAAAAGCAGAGGTCACACAGTGCCTCTTACAGTGAATGAGGTGGAGCAGGTCACACCAGGATGCTGCTCGCAGGAGCCTGCCTTCCTGCTGCATGGCTCATGGCAGCTACATCCCCCAAATTTTTGATCAAATCTCGGAAAGACACTCACGAAAGAGGATTTCCAGAACTGCCTCAGAAAGCGGCCAGATAGACGGGATGAGCGTGTTTGAAGTCAGGAGGATCCATGGCAATAGGTCTTTTCCCATTGGCTTTAACCCACTGTTAAAGCTTAGACAATCACTGTATATTCTGATCACACATCCTGGTTATCCATGTCTTACACAAGAGCACACTGGGTAATTTCCCAAGAGTAAGTGGCAGGATCAAGACCCCAGTGGAGGGGACATGCATGGTGTAAACACACAACAGCTCTGCCTAGGAATGGCTCTGTCCCTTCCACAAACTTGGATGTCGCCTGCCTTCAGCCCCTGCCAAAGCCACCGTGACGGTTCAGCACAGCTACATCTGCGAATCCCAGTGCAGCCCTGCAAGCCTGGAAGCATCTTTCTCGACCGGTGCAGCACACAGTGCATACCTGCTGGACGCTGAGGGGCGTGAGGATCTCTTCTCCCCTGAGGAACATGGATCTCTGGGTCAGAGCATCCGTGAGCTGCATCGGGTCCAGCCCAAGTAACTCTGCGGACCGGCCCAGAGCTGCAGACGGAAAGAGGAAGGCACAGTGGGCCCACAGGCCCCAATCAGTCACAGGGAGCGCTGGGGAGCAGCGGGCACACCTGATTAAGCACGCATCTTGGCAGCAGGTCCCAAGGTCAGGAGCATAGAAAAACTCTGCGTTTTGCAGTTAGGGGGCACCCCAAGGGGTCCCTAAAATGCCACCAGTGATGGGAGACTATTTTCACAGACAGTGCTAAAGAAACCTGCAGAAAGGTAAGACAGTGTCTCTGTTCTTACAATTTTCTGTTCTGGAGAAGTCCTTTAAGTCCTCCTGTCTCAGCCTCCTGAGTGCTGGGATTCCAGGCACATGTAATCATGCCTTGCTTATTGGGGTTACTGTTAAAATAGTGAGTAAGTATTTCTAAAGCTTTCAGTTTTAACTTCTTTTTGTTTTTGGTCTTTAGCAGTGGCAAAATTTATTCAAGAAAGCAAAAGTGAGGAGAAGAAGGGGGACACTGGCTCTGCAGGGCGAGCTTGGGCGGAGTAAAGAAAAACAGAGGGTGACAGTGAAGATAAAAGTACTTCCTGCATGAGCCATCATGGAAAGTAACAATAGCATTCAGTTATAAATTCTAATGCGGGGCCAGGTGTAGTGTGTGCCTGTAATCTCCACTGGGGAGGGTGAGGCAGGAGGATCACCATGAATTTAATCTGGGCTACATAGTGAGTTCAACACCAGTCTGAACTGCATAGCCAAACCTTGTCTCCAAAAAGAAAAAAAAAAATCAAATCCAGTACATATTAAACAGATATAATCAAGATAAATAAAAGCTCTTTGGGGCTCTAAGATTGTTGAGACTATGGAGAAGTGCTGGGTGGATCAGTCATCTAAGAACCCCAGAGCTACAGAACCTGGGCTCCTCTCCAACCGTGCAGACCCTACATTCCGTGACCACGCCTGTAGCTTCTCTCCGGAAAGCTTTCGAAATCCATCTATGAAAGAGCTCACTGTGGGACAGGCCCAGCTATACATTTGTCCTTTTGTCTCCACACCAACCTATCGCAACCTAAATAATGAATATTCTAATCCGAGTACTGTAATCCCTTTTCCAGTCCCCCTCACAGTCCAAAGAGTTACCCCACTGAGACGTTACTGGGAGCCCAGAAAGCTAATTCCAATCTACCACCTCCATGCAGCCCATGGCGAGAGGAAAGACACCAAGACATGTTCAAAGGTAAGGGCAGCCTAGGGGTCCCGAGCCTGATCCCAGGGAGGACGTGTGGACAAAGCCCTGACCCAAGGCCTCTCCCAAAATCTATGATTTTGTGAAGAAGAGGGAGGCTCGAGGATGAGTGGCGGTGAGCATGGCGGGTAACTTGAGCTGGCTGGCCAGGTCGGAAGAGAAGCATCTTTGCAATATGCAATAAGCAGAAAGACCAGTCTGCATAACTTGACTGGGACAGCGTCTGAATTAATTTAAGATGTTGCTTCAGTTTCTGATATGTAAACTCTTGTACCCTGGGGACTCACAGCCTCTTACTTTGAGGCTTGTGCCCAGCTGACATTCCTGGAGCTGAGTGCCTCTGCCATCCCGCTGTGCTCGGATCTTTCACAGAGAGCACTGTTTGAGGAAACAGGAGACTGTCAGATTGGCCTGAGAGATGACACATCAGTACTTCAGCTGGCCTTATTTGCATTGCTTAGAGCCGGTTGAAGAGCAAAGGGATTAGCATAGCCAGCTCTGTACCTATCAGTATATGGAAGTAAGAGGATTTAATTAACGTTGCAGCAATTGTTCTGCATTCAAGGGGAGTCGCTCAAACTATCTGCTGCACCAACTTCCATGCTCCAGGCAGAGAAGCTGCTAACAGCACGGGGAAAAAAGCGCAGGCAGCAGCCCAGGTGCAGTGGGGTTAGGGACCCGGCGTTCCGACCTGCAAACCTGCTCATCCTAACTGTGCTAGCCAGGTAACCACAGAGCCTCGGCGTGCCAGCATGGCTCCAGTGGACAGGTTTCCTGCATCGAGAGTGCACTGCTTAGACTGGTACTTATTTGGGGGCCTTCGCTCTGCTTCTTAGGGATGAGGACATAGGGCCATTCTAGTGCGGCAATGGCTCTGCACACACTGTGGCCTCTGAGTGACTGACCGACCTCTCCAGTCAGCTGCAGGCAGAGTCCATCCACTCAGGGGCTTAGGGTGCAGCTCAGTGGGAGGCTGTGAGATTGTGGCATGGGAGACCCCGGGGTGTGCGGGAGGGATGGAGAGAGAGAGACACAAAGAGAGACAGGAGGAAAAAAAAAAAAAAAAGAAAGGGAGAGGAGGATAGGACAGAATGGAAGAAAGAAAGGAAACAAAACTGCGGTTCCATTCCAGCTGAGCGAGGGGTGCATGGTCAGCAGTGGGCCACCTCACCTGTCTTGAAGGACACCTGCGCGCCCCCCGCGGTAATGAACTCCACGTTGCCCAGGTGCAGGACGCCGGCCAGCAGCCGCAGCACCTCCCGGACCTCGTCCTTGCTGAACTGCATGACCTCCATGGCCGTCTAGAAGGAAACGGAGGCACTTAATGCCGAGCTGCGTTTCAACACTGAAGAAAACTGGAAAGAATCACAAATTTAAAAAAGGGTCGCAGCCAGGCATGGTGGTGCACGCCTAGAACCTCAGCACTGCAAAGTGAGTTTGTGGCCGGCCATCATCCCCACATCACCCGGGAGGAAGTCCAGTGTGGGATCCTTTTCAGGATTTGGTGCATTCTGTTTGCCAATATCTTGTTGAAGAACAAAATGCAAATTTCCTACAGATATCAAAGCATACGAAACACTGTTTTCTTTGCCTAAAAATCAGGGATGGTTTTTGGGGTGAAGGGCATGTAATACTTCAAGACTCCCCCACTATAAACTTGGACGCCTTCTCTCTCTAACTAAGGCAGCCGGAAGTCAAGTGGGCAGAATACAACTTCGCATCAAAAACTCAAGTCTTTTCTCCTTTTTGTAAGACTACAGTGGGTGGGGGCTGTGGATTTAGCTCAGCAGCATAAGTGCCTGCCTTGCAAGCAGGCAGTCCTGAGTTCGATCCCCAGTACCGATAAAAAGGAAAAAGACAAAAAAAAAAGACTACAGTGGGCAGATAGTTCAGAACCTGTCTCTTAGACATTTAACACATCTCTTTCTCATTTCTTCAAAGGATTTGTAGGATTCCTCTAAGCCTCTGGGTAGAGAAGTTAACAATGCTATTTTGGAGAGATACGTACAGGGTTGGGTTAGAATCATCAGTAGCTAAACTCACACCAGGTGCTTCTGAGTCATATCTCAGATTCATGCTTTGTCTATGGTGAGTCAGGAGCCCAATTTTGGGCTCTTAAAGAGAACACACAAAATGGAGCACAGACTTGCTGGGCGTCCTGATGACAATGATTTACAAAGAGAACCTAGATCCGCACACTGACCCCAGGGGAGGACAGAGGAAGCACAAAGGTAACCTCACAGCACTGGGAGGCACAGAAGATGGGAAAGGAAACCGCGGGAGGCCCACGAGAGAAATGCAACACAGCTGGAAACGAAGGGCGAACAACAGAGGGAGCGTGATTAGCCAAGAAAATCAAATTGGCACTTCTCCCCAGAGGAAGCGCCGGGCAGCTCAGGGGTACAGCGCTCGGCCTGCGCCTCAAAATCAAACAGTAAGAAGGGCAGCTCCACAGAGCAACGCTGGCCTTCCTGGAAATCAAATGTGTGTGAATGAGAAGCCGGGCGTCGCGGCGCCCGCCTGTAATCCCAGCACTTGGGAGGTGGAGGCAGGAGGATTGTTGTGAGTGTATCTACAACCGTGCTTGAGAATGAAGTGTCCTATGAGATAATTTATCACGTCAGGCTCTACTTTATGATGTGATAATACCTCACCCTCCACCACGGCACTGAGGATTGAACCCGGGGTCTCAGGCTGAGCTCCACCCCAGCCCTCTTTTTTATTTATTTTGACACCGGGTCTCTCCAAGTTCCTAAATTGCTGCATCTGTGCTTGAATGTCCATTCAACCCTCCTGCCTCAGCTTCCCGAGCACTGTGATGACAGGCGGGCTCCACCGCGCCTGCCTCCTCTCTGTTCTTTATGTTGAGGGCTCCCAAGTTTTCTGACAGAAACAGACTGACGGGTTCACGTTTGGCAGCAACAAGGCACAAAATCCATCCTTCCCACCTCAGCTGAGTCGGACTCACGTGGGTGAATTCACACACCCATCATTGATGTCACACGCCCTTCAGGACCCACGGACCTGCAAGTCAGGTCTCTACGGTCAGGAGTCCTTGAACATCTGGTCAGCTGCCCCCCAGCCCCACCCCGCTGGGTGAAATGCAGGTGAAAGATGAATTCGCTCTTATCTCTGACTCGAAATCTTTCGTCCTGACCAAGATCCATACAGTGCCATTTGGAAGGATTTGGGCAAAATCATGGGGAAACACAGCAAGGCTTCACTGCTTCTGCCTCAGGAGAATCCGGTCTCCCCTAAAACTGCAGGCGCCTCCGAGCTCCTTCCTTCCATGAATGCGAGCTCCTGTCAACGGTGACTTCTTGAGGTTTTTTGACAAAGGGTATCGCTATGCAGTCCAGGGTGGCCTCGAACTCATGATGGGGTGACAAATGGGGTGGCCTCTATCTCACAAGGATCCTCCTGCTTCAGCCTACTGAGTACTAGGATTACAGGCCTGTGCCACTGTGCCTGGCGCCAGTGATGAATTTTACAAATACACAAAACAAACTTCTCAGGGAAATAAGCCCCATTTTAAAAAGGTCTTATTGCCAGAACCCACTGCCACTAAGGTGCATAATTTATAATAGCTAAAATCGAACCTCAAAAGTGACATTTTCATACATGATTCATAGAGATATTTCTCTCCTTTCGCCTTTCAACATGTTCTGTTCTTGGGCCCCACGAAATGTGGTCCCTGCCCTTTGACCTCACCTCCCCTGAGAAAAGGGGCGCCCAGAAATTAAAGTACAGAGATGGGAATTTAAATAGCCCTGGACACTGGGGAGAAATACTGAGGTCAGTTCCTCAGAGCACCACAGTGTGACCTCGCCCAGATCCTTCCACCCCTCCAGCACGGGGCAAGAGTGATGCCCCGTGTGTTCACTGTACTCTCTCTGGTGGGCTTCACACACGTGGGACGGGTGACACCCACTCTAGCCAAGGATGCTAACGCCATCCGTGAGCCAGGGTGTCAACTCCACAGTACTTTTTATTTAAAAGACCGTCTGGCGGTCACTAGGGGGCGCTCGCAGCAGGGACTCGATGGCCCTCTGAGTGGCCAGAAACTGCCCAGGAGCTGCTGTATTTGTCTCGGGGCTTCAGGTGCCCCTTCAGGGCTGTTTCGTCTTCCTGCTGCTGGCACGACCTAACACCACATACAGCCTGCAGAAGTCATCGTGCTGTCCTGTGAGCCTCTGCCATGGTGCCGTAGCAACGCCTGTATGTGTCTCGGTACCGACTGGGTCCACATGGGACGCACGGCCCTGCGGCTGGCTGAATCCATGGCCCAGAACCCACAGCTCTAGAGGCAATAACTGCGTGACAGAGATGATGGTGCTAGGAACAGGGTCATCCTCAAAACACCCCCGTGTTCACCGTAAAAACAAAATATCCAGAGAACAATAGAATAAAAAACCTAGGATTCTGCCACAAGAGGTAACATCTTTGGTGCATATTTTTGGTTGGATTTTTTCTGCACATATACAGATAATATGCAAAATGATCTTTTTAAATAAAAAGCACCGTGGAGTTGAAACCCGCAGCCTCCTGCATGCTTGGCAAGTGCTGTACCCCTGAACTACACCCTAACCCCTTCTCAATTCAGAAACAGTAGATGAAGGTTTCTGTATTATTAGATATACCTAAGCATGAGTTTCACTTCCTACGAGGGACTACATTTTATAACAACTTTTTTTTTTGTAAGGGGATCAAACTCAGGACCTTGCACTTGCCAGACAGGCACTTATGCTGCTGAGCTGAATCCTCGGCAGTTTAAAACAGTTTTAAACTATTTCCCCGGTTCTTGATTTACATAGGTTTAGGAGGAAATTATATTATTTATTATTACTAAAGAAAGGAATATTTTTTCCACTTTTTTCCTCCAAAGTCGATTTTTGTTTCTTTGCTTAGAACTTCAGAACAAAAACGTTATAGCTGTGATCTTAATAAACATCCACCACATTTTCAATATTGCTGGTGGGCCCACACTTTTTTTATTATTATTTAAAGAAAGACAAAACAAAATAGAAAACGGGCAGAAATAGTACATATTTTCAAAGAAAAGAAATAAAAAGTAATAAATCACTAGTTGATGTACACATATTGTTCCCCCACAAATAGTTGTTCAAGATACAAAAGTGGAACATATAAATGGGAATTCAATCAAAGAGACTGCAAACAGTTCTGTTCAACTATCCAACAAAAACTAAGTAATATGGCTATCAATCCTATACACTTAGACATGTACGCATTTATCATTGATGTTGAGACCTAACTAAACTTATTAGATTAAAATCCTTCTGAACAAAGATTAGTAATATTGCTGGATTTCATATGATAACACTCCGGAATCAGCACTGGGTCCTGCAGGGCCCCTTTCTTTCCTTCAAAGTATTTGTTCATTTCATCATGTGTCATCAGATCAGTTCTCATAAACTGTTTATAGCTTTTAGGCAAGCATGAATCTTAACATGCATTTCTATCCTTTCTATATTAGAGGGACAAACAGAACAAAGCAGGACAGAACTAAACATATTACTATAGACACATAAAACTAAAAAGACATAAAAACTGCTGTATAAGGAGTTCTACCATGGTCACTGTGCTGTTTCTTGTTATCAGATAAAGTATAATTGAACATATCAGTACATAACAGGGTTAACAGAAATACAACTTTGTAGAGAGTGTAGAGCTACAAAAACAGGTAGTAATCAAATCAGAATGGATATTGTGGTGAATCATTGTCATTTTCAGTATAGTTGTCTATACTCTTCAACTTGATACCAGCAACCTAACAGTTTAGAATAAAATCGGTCAATAATGAGCAGCAATCAAACAAGTCAGATTTAACTAAGTTCAGTCATGATACAACAGTGTAAGTCATACAGGGATCCTGGTTGAGTTAATAGGAAATTAAAAATGACCACTGTGCTATGTCCTGAGATCTTCGGGACAGCTGTCTGTGGGTGGGCCCATGCCCACCCTTTCCAAAAAGGAAATATGGAAGGACCCACAGATCTGTCCTACAAACGGAATACATAACCAGAATCACTGTGCCAGGTACCTGCACCGCGTCAATTGAGCAAGGCAAGCTAGGCGACCCTCTGGCTAAGGCAAATCCACGAGACCCTTGCCACCAACAGGAGCCCTGAATGGGGACCTGAAGCCCCAGGAGAAAGACAGCAGCTTCTGGGCAGATTCTGGCCACTCAGAGGGTGAGCGAGTCCCTGCTGCGAGCGCCCCCTAGTGACCGTCAGATCAACGGGTCCGGACCTGCAGAGGACCAGGCTCCTCTTGGCTCATGAGAAGCCTGGCTCTCGGCCATGGGAGTATATTACTTCTCCATGGGCTCTGAGTGACAGTTTGGTGGGACATGGTAGTCTGGGCTGGAGACTGTTTCCTTTTGCAGCTTGACGTATTTCACTCCAAGCTCTTCCTGACTTCAGGAGGTTTGCTTGGTGTGGAGAAGTCAGCTGGGATGTGCTGGGCTTTCCTTTACAGGTGATCTCTTTCCTCTAACAGTTTTAAAGATTCTGTTCTTGTGCCAAATTTCTGGACTCTTGCCTATTCTATGCCTTTTTTTTTTTTTTTTTTGTCATGGTTAATTAGAGTTCTCTATGCCTCACACATGTGTATGTCAAATTCTTTTTCCCTGCCAGGGACTTTTCTGCCATTACTACATAAACCTGTGAACAGGTTTCTTATCTTTTCCATTGACTCTGGCCAATCTTTTTTGGTTATTCTTTGTATCTTTTTGAAGCTGGGGGGTTGTTTTTTCAGGGTCCCTTGCTATTTTTAAGAGAACTTTTGGGATCACTAACTGTAATCCTTTTAGATCTGATATTCTAGCCTCATATTGGTTCACTGAAGCAACACTGAGATTCCATCTCACCCCACAGAGAATGGTTGTCATCAAGAAATCAACCAATAACAAATGCTGGCAGGGCTGTGGAGAAAAGGAACCCTTCCCCACTGTTGGTGGGAGGGTAGGCTGGTGCAACCACTGTGGAAATCAGTGTGGAGATTCCTCCAAAAACTAAGACTAGAGATCCCATTTGACTCAACTATTCCATTTCCCAAAAGAATTAAAAGCATCAGAGCACAGTGATATATACACACCCATGTGTATAGCAGCACAGTTCATAATCACACAGTCTTGGAAACAGCCCAAAAGCTCATCAGCTGGCGAATGGCTAAAGAAGATGTGGTATTATTATAGAACAGAGTGTTACTCCGCCATAAAGAAGGATGAACTTGAGGCCTTTACAGGTAAAAGGATGAACCTGGAGACTGTAATCTTAAGAAAATGAATCAGACACACATTTAAATATCTGTTTCTCTGATGCGAGACACTGAAAGCGTAAGTAAAGGCCAAAATGTATAAACGATATGAGAAAAGGGAAGGAAATGTTCCAACAGGAAGAGGAAAAAAGGGAAAGGAGGGGAAGAGAAAAGGAAAGGAGAATAGAAACTAAGGTTTTACAAATCAGGAGGGGAAGGGGGCTGAAGGGAGAGAAGGAGAACGGGAGAAAAGAAGACCAGCGTATCTCATGGAGAGGTACAAATGCCCTGGGATGAACGTGATCTGCATGCACCAATAGCCAGGTGTGGTGGCTCATGCCTGTAGTCTCAGCACTCAGGAGGCTGAGGCAGGAGGATGGTTGCAAGTTTGAGACCAGTGTGGGCTACAAAGTGAGCTCGAGGCCAGCCTGAACTGCAGTCTCAAAAAGGAAAAAAAAAAAGTACCAATAAAACTCACAGAAATTAAGGGAAAAAAAGTCTTGTGCATTTCTGCAAGACTCAAGATTAGTCCAGTTTTGTCTCAGGTGAGGGACACACGCTTGGATTTGCGGCTCCAAGTGAGCCTGGCCCGGTCCTGAGCTGCGCCCTCAGCTGGGACCGCAGAGCCCCCGCTCTCCCCTCCCAGCACGACGGTCCTCACCACGCTGAACAAGACAGAACCGCCCCCTTCCCCAACTGTAATCATTTCTGCCTTTATTTTAAAAATGGGTTTTCTTGAAACTGAAAGTGCAACCTGTCATTCCCAAGAGAAGAAAACAAAACAGTAACTTACAATAACGTCTCTAAAGGACTGCTGGTCATTGATTGTCTTATCTTCTATACATCCAGATTGATTCAAGTAATGGTAGTTTTCCGGCACAGATAAATAAAATTCTTCTATAGAAAGAGAAAGAAGAAGGTAACATCAACATTCCGCTGGCCAGGACCAGGGGATTCAAAAGAGCTTACTCTATGATTTTATGGATTTTCTTTTCTGTTTTGAGACAGGATCTCACTGCATAGTTCAGGGTGGCCTTGAACTCACTATGTAGTTGAGGTTGGCCTTAAACTCATTGGAAACCCCCCTGTCTCAGCCTCCTGAGTGCTGGGATTAGAGGTGTGCACCACCATCCCCAGCTTTTTTAAAAGCTGTGTAGTCCAGGCTGGTCTTGAACTTACTCTGTAACTCAGGCTGGCCTCAAACTCACAGTGATCCTCCTGCCTCAGCCTCCTAAGTGCTGGGATTACAGGCATGTGACACCACACCCAGCAAAATGTACACTCAGCTGCACTTGGGAAGTCCACCTCTCACTCACCTCTCTCTCCGGGACCCAGCCCAGCCAGCAGTGCATAGAATATGTGATAATTCCTTTCCCCTGGATTCTGTCTTACTACTCGGTTCTGTGGAGATAAATCAAATTTGCACTTAGAGCTGTTTTCTCTGCTTAATTCCTACACAGTGATTATCACTGATAACTGCTACTTAGAACAAAGTGAGTCAAATCCCGTGTACTTACTTTTTCTAATAAATCTTCATGTGAAGATTCAAGTCAAGGAAGAAAACAGAGACCAACAGAAACAGCCTCTGACTCTCTGCGCTTACCCAGACGATCGGGGCTCTCTGCTGTGCTCAGCTTGAAATTTTCAGCGTCAAAAGACAAGCACATGAGCACAGACTGCTTCACCTTAACCCAACTCCAAACATCACTCTGCCCGCCAGGTACCAAGCCGTCTGGTGGGTTTCACACATCAGGCAGCTCCCGATGCCTGGTGACAGCTGTGGTCAGATGCCGTCTGAGTGTTCCCCAGGGTCCTGGTACAGGAGGTGCTAGGGGCCGGAGCCTTAGGAGAGGGCACCCCTGGGAAATGTCCGGTCAGTCTTGGGCTCTGCCTTCACAGGCGATTCATGTTGGTCTTATGGCTGCCTCAATTCTCTCCACAACGGGTTACTATACATTGGGGTCCACTGGCTGCTCGCTTTCTCTTGCTGTCTTGACAAGCGACCTCTCCCAGGGCATCATGCAGCCACAAGGCCCACACTGTACATTTCAGCCTCAGAAACTGGGAGCCAAAATAAACTCTTTACTATTAATAGCTGTTATTTTTGCATTTTTTGAGAGAGGATCATGCTATGTAGTCCAGGCTGGCCTTGAACTCACTACGTAGCTCAGGTTGATCCTGAACTCAAAGCCATCCTCCTGCCTCAGCCTCCTAAGTGCTGGAATTACAGGTGTGCATCACCACCACAGTCATTTGTATCTTTTTATGGAAAACCTCTTTCCTTTATAAAGTTCTCAGAATTAGGGATCCTGTTACAGCCACAGAAAATGGACTAACAAACTGATGAACACAATTGGAGAGCCATTCAAAATGGTTCTTCCTCTCATAGAATAATTAACACATTAAGCACAGTAACATTAAAGCAATAACAAGGCAGAACCGGGGTAAGAAATGTTTTGTACAATTTCTGGGTCCTTGAGATAAATGAGTGCAGACATTACGCACAGAAACAACAAAGCAGGATACAATCTACAATCTTCCCTCCCTGGATATTTCCCTTCTGACAGATGTGCAGCTGAACGAACTTCCCGAAGCGGCTGGAGTTGTTGTTGTACACGGTTTTGGCGTTGCCGAAGGCCTCCATGATGGGACTGCAGAAGAGGTGAGGAGGCAGAGAGGATTCGTCAGGGCAGAGCTAAAAACAGGGCGCCTCTCACAGCCGGCCAAACAGACCAAGGGAACAGAAGTCCACAGCCAAAGGACCTAGGGTGACGCTGTCCGTGTTCCCACAGCCGGGTCTTCCCAGCGCGCTACCCGGGGCTCATCCTGCGAGTCCACAGTGGACAAGAGGACGAATCCACCACGCGTGGGTTAGCAAACGATATCACAGAGCTAGGGGACCTCAACAGCTTACGTCTTCCTGAGTCAGCTGCAGCAGACACGCACCCCAGGAGTGCATGGAAAACCCCACTCAGACCCTAGGAGCTGGAGACTTCCATCCTGGGAATTTACCCACTCACTGTGATGATTCATTGAACCCCTTCGGGGTTTTCCCCACTGTGCGGTGGATTCGACCAGCCTGGGGACTGGCATGCTGCTTCCTCTGCAAAGGACCAGGTGGCAAATGTACAGGCTTTGTACAGGCTCTGTGCCCCTGATACAGTGCCTTAGCTCTGCCATTGCTGCACAAACGCAGCCAGAAATAACCCATATGGGCAGGGCTGGATTCCAAGAAAACTACAAAGAAGCCTAAGGAGGGAGACTGAGAAAGGCTGCAGACGCACTGCCGCTGGGTTGCACGGCTGTGTGGGCGGCCTTACTGCTCTATGAGCTTCCCCCTGAAAAATCGGCTAATGAGGGGCTGGGGATTTAGCTCAGCGGCATAAGCACCTGCCTTGCAAGCAGGCAGTGAGTTCCATCCCTGATACCAATAAAAACAAAAACAAAAAAGACCAAAACAAAAAATAAAAAAAAAAAACAAACAAAAGAACAAAACGGCTAAAGCTACATTTCACCACCACCACAACAACAAAAAAAAGTGCTTAAAAAAAAAAATAAAACCTGAAAAAAAAAAAATCAGCCTGAAACCAGGCTGCAGGCCAAGGGCATCAGGTTGCAGTTTACCAACTCCTGAGCAACGCTAAGTTAGCAGAATCTGTAAGGTTTCTCCAAGGCCTTTTTTGCTGCTGTTAATAGGGCTGCTGCAGGGGCCCGGTCACAATCCATAACACACCTGCGATCTTCCCTTTCCCTCCCCTCCCTTGGTCTCTTAGGCTCTAAACTCTTGCAAGCAAGAGTTGCAGCTGGATACCAGGCCACTGCTTAGCTTAAGTGACAATACAGATGACACCTGGCTACGCGGCCTTCTCTGCTGTCACAGCGGAGAATGCAGGAAAGCCACTGAGCTCACCCCAAGCCCTCCGCCCCCTGCTGGACACTGGACAGAGCTCGCTCTCGCTCTCACATGGCACTGGGTGCTCAGCAGCATTCCTGCTGCTAACCGGGCATCGAAGCCCTGCTGAGCATTACTGTCCCCCATAAACCCCCACATTAGCACCCCGGGTCCTTCAGAAACAAAGGAAGCTGGAGTCGAACCTCAGAGCGGAAGGAGGTTGAGACTGTCCCTCCCGCCCACCATCCAGGCGCCACCTCAGACTGGCTCAGGACGAAGGGCCGGGGCACTTTCAAGTGGAAGGAGCTGCCGCTGAGGCGCCGTGCATGCCCTGAGACAGTTCCTTAAGGAATTGTGAGGGTGATGCCAAGCAAAAGAGGAAGCAGGCTCACACCCACTCCTGACTCCCGCGTACCACTGCGAGGGTGAATTCCCTCCGCAAGGTTGGAGCGAAACAGTGAACAAAAGACACACCTGCTTTCAAGAATGGCCTGCTCCACGCAGGACATCTTCGCCTTCAGGGACAGCTCCAGCGCCTGCTGGCTGATGGCCGACAGGAACTTGAGGATCAGCTTGGTGCTTTCGGTTTTCCCTGCCCCGCTTTCACCGCTGAAAGACAAAAGGCAGAAGCGTGTGTGTCTAAGTATGGAGACTGTTTAAGGCCCTCGGAGGCCTCAAGAGAAAATGCATGGAAAGGAGGACACGGTGAGATGCATACTGCAAAACAGCTGGGTGACAGGGCAGCAGGCGCCCCATCCTGCAGGGCACCCCACTTCTGGTCTGCACAGCCCAGCTCTTCCTAAGTGGAGGTCAGAAGATGGGTCGTGTTTCATAGCAGGGAAGCTGTGCGACAGTGAAGGCCTTCCTCTGGCTCACTGATGCACCCCGATTCCCCAGTGCACCTGGCTGGTGGCAGGCGCTTGCTACATATTGGCTAAATGAATGAGCACATTAACAGTGTCTTTCTGGAGAGCTGAAAGCAGATAAATGCACATAAAATGAAACCATTCATCAACCCCAGAGAGGAGGAAATAACCCTGCAGGTGTGCAAATGACTGGCCCGTAACCACTCAATTCCCGTGCAGGCCTGAATGCCAGGTTGGACTGGCTCCAGTTCCTCAAAGGCTGCAGGTTAGTGACAATTAAAAAGAAGTGGACACAGCAGTCCAGATCCAGCCAGAGCAGGGCCAGTGTGAGGAGGGAGGTGTGGGGGTGCCTGAGAAAATGGCACAGGGGCAGGCGTCAGGCAAGGAGAAGGGAGCACTGAGCTGTGACAGACAGGGACAGGTCAGCTGGCCAGGCTGCACTGGGGTGACAGAGAAGGCCAGGCAAAGACTGATCTATCCAGGTAGCCTTGAAAAGCAGAGCCCCAGGGGGGACCTGCTCAGGACCAGGGCCCCTGGGGAGACAAGCTGCTCGCAGGCAGGAAGCCACCGAGTCCTGGACGCAGACCAAAGGACTGAGGAAGAACACAGAATGGGCATGAGATGCGGAAGGAGGGGCCCGATTCTCTTGTACAGGCTCCGTGCTGGGGCTGTGTGGAGGCCAGGAGCAGCGGGAAGCCAGAGCCAGGGACAGGAAGCCGAAGACTGAGCAGCGTGCAGGCAGATGAACACCAGCGTGGGAGCAGGCTGCTCACTGCTCGGTGCGGGGGGTTCGGGGAAGAGGCCCTTGGAATTCTTGGAGGATACATGATGGGGCGCCAAGATTGGATGTTATCAGGAGGCAGGAAGGTGCTGCAAATGCCATGAGCGATGTACAGGAGGGAATGATTCACAGAGGACTCCACAAGAGTCAGGGCGCCCCCTACACACACAAACACACACACATGCACGCACAGGTGTCAGAGGTGGGCTTGGGAAGATGCATGAGCCCGCCACAGCAACCTCATGTCGAGTGCTTCGGGGTACCAGTGAGGTTTGCATGCACAGGCAGAAGGGAAGAAATGGCCTGCTTCCTGCAGACATGGATGCCTGAGAATCCACATCCATCTCAGAGCCAAGGTCTACACTCGCTTGGGATTCTAAAGCGGAAGCCAGTATGTCAGAGAAGCCCAGCAGGTGTGGCTGAGCCCAGCACTTTGAGACCACCCAGCTCGGTGTCATCTGAGATAACGGAAGATCCATGGAAGCGAGGTCAGCTTCTGCTCGGGTTTCCTCAACCAGACACCAAAGCCTCATTCACACAGGGCACCTGCACAGCCATCGTGGCACGCAGGGCACCGGTGACAGGCAGGATGACAGGCAGGCAGGATGACAGGCATGCACAGGAGGTAACAGACACCGAGAGCACCGAGGAAGCCATTCTCCATACTCCCAGACACGTGTATCTTTGCAGCAGTCGTGGTGGCTGACTTTTTGAAAATGGAAGGGTCCGTTAGACTCAATGGGAAAGAAACTGTCAAGTATTCACCAAATTCACCTTCCTATAGTCAGGCGCACAGGAGTAGCCATCATGGCCCTCCTCATGGTTAGAACCGCCAGCCAGGGCAAGGGGCTGCGTGTGGCCAGGGGCACTGGGGTGTCACACAGCCCAGCAATGGCCATCTGTGCAGGGCATGTGCAATGACTGCATTACATGTCTTTACGAGGTACGATCAGAAAGCAGTGAAAGTGCCATCTGGGGGACAGGCGGAATCGTAAAACCATGCCAGGGTGTCCTGCTCCAGCCTACTCACCAGATCTGACCCTGCATGACTCCCGGATCTTCCCCAAATTCAAAATGACAGAGAAAGGGCAACACATTTTGAATCCATTCGGGAGCCTGGGCAGCCACGGGGATCTGGGGGCTTGTGCAGATGCAGGAGAAGGAAAGGCAGTGCGGGGCCCAGGAGAAGGTGAGGGCTGAGCAATGACCTGAACAGTGGCCAGCGACGCGGGGAGAAACCCAGGCTCTCCCAGGAATGAGCACATAGGACGTGTTTTAAGGATGATGCCAATGATTCAGGAAAAGCAGAGAGGTCAAAGAATCAGGCAGCAAGGCTCGGACAGTGCAGCATCTTCAGGAAAGCAGGGAGTGCTGCTCCGAGCACCCCTGGGGGAGGTACCTGCCTCAGCGGCCTGGCACTGGGCTGGTCAGGCTCCTAGCATTGCGTACTGGGCTGGAAGCGTCCCAGATCCTGGGCAGGTGGCAGCAAACTATGGCCCTCAAATCCTCAGTGCTGCCTGTTTTTTGCATTAACGTTGTTTGGGAGGATCCCCCTCTATCCCTTCACACGCTGCCTGTGAGCAGTCGAGCACCCTGAGATAAGAGCTTCAGAGCTGCAACAGGAGACCTCACCCACGTGCCTAAAATGTGCCTTCTCTGTCCCTCTCACTCCATGCTTTGTTGGCATCTGACACACAGGCATCCCCTTTCCCGTGAGTGCAATTCCTACAGTCCCAGAATCTGCACAAAACATAACTCAGACCACTTTTTGGCTTTTGAGAAGACTGGAAACTTCTCTCCTGCCTCAAGCATTAAGGCCAAAGGCCTCAGTGAGCTAATGACCCTGTTCCAGGAAGTCAGATTCTGCTACGCCAGAGATCAAGTTCAGAGCTAGTGTTGGTCGCTAAAACCTGAAGTCTGTTGCACAAATCACTCAGCTTCCCCAGGCCTCAGTTTCCCCAGAGACAGTGCCCGTGGAGCTCCCCTGAGGATTATCCACAAGCACGGCTGCTCCCTGGCTCCGCCCTCTCTGCCTGTCTCCCCCATCTGCCGCACTGCTGGGTTATCTCAGCCTGGACACATGCATCCTTCAGGCTCCAGAGCCATCATTTCTAGATATATTTCTAGAAACAGCAGAAGACCAAACACCCAATTATCATTCCAGAAGATAACAAGACACGCTTAAAACCAAATTGCTTCTTTCTGAAAACCCAAAACCTACAAAATGAGCATAGATCCTGAGCCAGAAGTCACGCTGAATTATTCAAATTACTCATCCTTTGACTGAGCGCAGCTGAACCAGGCTCCACCACAGGCTCACATGCTATCCTCGTGGCGGGGCTCACAGGCGAAAGGAGCCTCAGGCCTTGCACACCACGACACAAAAACCACCAAAGGCCACTGTTTTACACTGAGCTCCTGCACCAGACCCCAAGACCAGACCAAAGCCAAAAGGAGTCATTCATGCTAAACACTACAAAATTAAACAGAGGCTTATGGGAACAGAGAGATCCCAAAACAGACCCGTTTTTCTGAAAACAGGAGACTCTAGTCTGAATGTCATACAGAAGTCTCCTTCGCTTAAACCTTTACGAAAAGCAGCTATCAGTTAATTTTCTAAGGTTGCCTTTTCCCCCCCTTACAAAACCCTCTACCTTGCTGTTTTTCCGTGGGAATTCTCTTTCTGCTTTATAGAACAATGGTCGCTTTGATTCATACATTGTGAATAAAAGCCAATGTATTGGATTCATATGTGAATTTGTTGTAATTTTGTCCTTTGATCAACTTCATCTTAACATGTCTTACCCAGGAAAAGATCAAATTCAACTAAATCCCTGCCCTGCAGTATGAACAGCTAATGTCATGTTTAAATGTATTAGATCAACTCCAGAGTCAAGCGCTGACTTTATTAGATGAAAAAAAAAATAACAAAACATTCTCAGGTGAGTTTTACACGTACATCTTTGGATTTTTCCATATTTACACTTAAGGTGATGATAGCATGTATTTCCATTTAAATATGCACAAAAAAGTAAAACAAAGCTAGAGCCAAAGTCAGGAACACCTTGAAATGAGATCTAAGAAAGAGGGCAGCACCAGAAGCCTAGAGGCTCCAAAGAGTAGCTGGCGACCTCATTATCAAGCAGTGTACCGACAGTGACAGTCGAACACGAAACCATAAAGTTCTGGTTAGTTCCAAATTTCCCCATGTACTTAACTATTCATTTGGGGGGTCTGAGGATTGAGTGTTTTCTGATTTTAAAAGCACTAGGCAAAACCAAACCAAACCAAAATACCAGGCAAGAGAAAATGTTCGGGAAATGGTGAAACCCACTGTATCCACCAGGGGGCAGACGATACCAGGACTGGAAATGGGGTGACTGTACCCACCTAGCAATCTTAGACTCAATCTTCTCTCCATTCCTACAGCCTCCCCACTAGAAAATAAAAAACAAAAGCAAACACAGAACACCAATAACGTATCTTAGCGACACACGTGTTCCTAAAGTTCCCTTTCCTGTGTTAATTTAGATAAACACAGCCCTCCTTTCTACCTCGGCGTCACAGAATGGGGCTCTGTTTGGGGCCTGCGCCACACCCACCACCCCCTTAGTTTTAAATACCACAGTCTCTGGCCTGACAGTGCCAAACCCTTCCGCTGTGCTACACACCCATGCACACCCGCCCACACACAAGCACACTAATCTCATTTGATTCCTCACTTTCTTCCCCAAACTGTGCTGTCCAGCGAGGGATACACAGAAAGGCTCTCATTTTTCCTCTAAAGTAATAACCACAAGAAATTATCAACGGCAAGTATTTAGCTACCTACGTGTGGTCAACAATTCGATGGCCTTATGATTATGTTTTTTTTTCTGTTAATCTCATGACACTGTATTCTGCCTACTGAAATAATGACTTTTAATTCTAACTTCAACGGAAACTTATGAAAACCACCTAAA